GTGTCACTGGCCCTCATATGTGGGATCCGAACCGGGGCCCTCTGGCATCCCAAGCCAGTTCTTAACCATCGCGCCACTCGGCCGGCCCGCAAGCCAGTTCTTAACCATCGCGCCACTCGGCCAGCCCCCACCATCAGTTTTAAGTAACAATTCATGTGAAATGCTTACGCCATGGTATATGGCACTTGTGAAACATTTAATGTCAATGATTTATTAAAATTTCTAATTAAAAAATTAAGTTAAAACTAAACCAATTTAATTAAATTAGTTTTGGTGAAAGGATCAGATTTCTAGATAATCATCTAATACCTCATCCTGTAAAAGGTAAATAAGTAAATCATGTTTTCTTTTCACTTTTCTTGCAGAAATATTGTATCCACCGTGAATCTTGGTTGTAAACTTGACCTAAAGACCATTGCACTTCGTGCCCGAAATGCTGAATATAATCCCAAGGTCAGAACAATTCCCCCATATTTCAGACTATAATAATACAGGAATTTACTTCTGTAGGTCCTTAGGTGAAAAAGTCTATGTCATGTGATGCATTAATGCTGTTTCCACAGCCGAGTGGAAGTTGGTCAGTCCACTACATACTGGTATGCTTATAATCTTACTTATTCATTCCTTCCAGAGGCAGAAAAGGTTTATCAAACAGAAAAGTTATAGTTACAGAAGCTGGTCACGAGAAGCAGCAAGTACAAGGGAGAAACGGAGGCACTGGTGTCTATGAAGCCGTAATTAAACATTTTTGCAAATGTTACTTGTTGGAATGTGTGAAAGAGCACACAGGTCCTGGTGCCCCTTACTCAGCTGTCACAGGGTGTTTGTTCTGCCCCCGTGTGAGACCTAGCGTGTACATGCAGAGACAGGGTGTCCCGAGTGGGACATGGGGAGACGTTTTGACAGCTGTATGCCCCGGGTCCTTCAGTAGTTGGGGTGTTGTTTGTCGTTGTCTAGTTCTCCTGAGAGAAAGCAGCAGTCTAGCCTGACCTCGTTAACGATTGTGTCTGACTGTTTCAGCGGTTTGCTGCTGTGATCATGAGAATACGAGAGCCCCGGACCACCGCCCTGATATTCAGCTCCGGGAAAATGGTGTGCACAGGGGCCAAGAGGTAGGTGGAGGGGCCCACTGTGCTGGCCTACGTCTCGTGTTCTGGGCAGCAGTCCAGCTCTTTCATAAGACGTGGCTGCTGTCTTGTTAACACAGTGGGTTCTGATCACTTTAGACAGCAGTCATTTCATTGTCTTCAGACTAGGCATGAGTTTCGGATGGATAGTACCATCGCTTATGTCTGTACAGTCCAGTTACATTTTATGTGTACAGTAGAACCTTGGATGGCGAGTAACGTGGTTTGCGAGAGTTCCGCAAGACGAGCAGACATTTGTAGTGCATTTTAATGTGGTGAACGAGCAATGTCTTGCAATACGAGTAGTTTGTTTCCGGAACAAATTATACTCACAAACCAAGGTATTACTGTATTTGATAAAAGGTAACATGAACACTATTAAGAAGGATCCCTTTAAGAGAAAGACTTGATGTATCACACAGTCACCCCCCCCCAGTGGCAAACAACTGGGTTCTGAGTCACAGAATTTCAGAGCTGATGGTGACAGTGTGGCTGACTGCACTGGTCGGGCAGTGTGACAGCATGCAGGGAACGCACCTTTCTCGTCACATGCTGCTGCCGTGCCTGGCCTCCGTCTGGAGTGAGCCTGTCTGAAGGTTAGCATTTCGGGCCTTGGCGACTAACCCTGTCTGACAGCCCATGTACTTGGTAGGAGGCACACATGGGGCAAGGACTAGTAACATCAGCTTCATGAAGCTTTTACAAAGGAAGTAGGTTGAACTTTTCAAATAAAAGATGATTACAATGCACTTGGAGGTGTTGGCATAGAGGGCTGTTGATGCTTTTGCTTATTCCAACCTTTGAAGTTGTCTTCCAATGACAGGAAGGCCACACTGGGTACATCCCAGCTCTGGTCTCAGGGTTTCCAGCAGGCAAGACGTGGGCGTGTCCCTGGCTTCCAGTAACTCTTCATTTAGAAGTCTGTTTGCCGCTTTTCCTCTGGACGGAACACCAACAACTGGCTTGTCAGCGGACGCTGAGTCTGTAGCCCTTTTTACCCAGAGTATTTCCTGCAGACAGAAGAGTGCCTGTCTAGTTCAGTCATTATTTTATCCAGATAAGAAACCATAAATGTTTATTTTCCTGAAAAAAAGCACTGCACGTGTGCTTAGTTTTTGTCACTCCTGAGCTCACGCTTGAGTCTCGTTTGTGACGGTTTTATCACATTCATCCTGCTTTTCGGCATGAGCGCTGCTTCGCTAAGTCACAGCTTCACCCAACAAGTAGTCACACGAACGGGTAGGAGACCAGACATGAAAGAGGACAGAACTGGTGTGTGCACTCTTCAAGTCGATCTCGTCAGTATTTTCCTGACAACAGGAAGCCTGTTAGTGTTGGTCTTGGCGGGAATCTGGGTTAATGTACAGTGATGGTGATGGTGATCGACACCTCACGTCTGTGACTCGTTGTCTGTCAATGATCTATGCAATGGAAAAGGTGATCTTTGGGGCAGGCCTTCATTTACTGCCTTTATAATGAAATTGTTCCTATCTGCTGGTCTTTTATCCCCTTGAAAGAGGGGTGACCAGTTACACTTTTTTTTTTCCTGTTTGTTTTTGTTTTTTTGGGTTTTTTTAAATTGGGGAATTGGGGAATGGGAACAGCCAAGTTGTCCTTCAGTCTTAGTTGTGGAGGGCGCAGCAAGCTCAGCTCCAAGTCCAGTCGCTATCTGGCAGCTCACGGCCGTTCAGCTCAAGGTGCTGTGTTCAATCTTAGTTGCGGGTGGGCGTAGCCACCATCCTATGTGAGAGTCGAACCAGCAGCCTTGTTGTTAAGAGCGCACACTCTATCCACTGAGCCATCCGGGTGGCAGCTCACCTCAAGGTGCCAAGTTCAGTCTTAGTTGTGGGCAGGCGTAGCCCACCATCTCGAACAGGCAACCTTGTTGTTAGGAGCACGTGCTCTCACCAGCTGAGCCATCCTGCCACCTGTTGGCAGCTCCGGGGCAGCTCAGCTTGGGCGCAGCTCACTGGCCCATGTGGGAATCGAACCAGGCACCCTGTTGTTCAGAGCTCGTGCTCTTAAGCAAGCTCTTAGCCAGTTGAGGCCACTCGGCCGGCCCACACTTTTTTTGTTGTTTTTTTAACGCCTTTCCCAACTTGGCCTTTAATGAGTTATTCATCTAAATATTTTGGCTGCTTTGGGTATAAAAGCCTCCCCTTCCCTCCTGTTCCCTCTCCCCAGCGAAGAGCAGTCCCGACTAGCAGCCAGGAAGTACGCCCGAGTCGTTCAGAAGCTGGGCTTCCCGGCCAAATTCTTGGACTTCAAGATTCAGAACATGGTGGGGAGCTGCGACGTGAAGTTCCCGATTCGGCTGGAGGGCCTTGTGCTGACCCACCAGCAGTTCAGCAGGTGCGTCTTGTGTGTGCCGGTGTGTGACGCGCCGTAGCCGCCCGTGTTTCCTGCCGGGGGCAGTCGCGGGCCCTCTCACCACCTCTGCCTCCCCCTTACCAAGTGTTGCTGACTCCCCTCGGGCACGTTGCATCGTTTTAAGTATGATTTAAGTGCAGGAATTAAATCCGCAGACTCATGTGTCAGCTTTTTCCTCAGCTGTGACTTTCTTCTAGTCTGCACTGTTGGCTCTCCAGGCCAAGGGAGGCTGAGGGATGGGACTGTCCTTCCCACATGTGTGCCCTGCAACTTCCCAGGGAGGACCTGCAAGGTCCCTGCTCACCTCTGCAGCCTCCCTCACAGCACCCGTCAGGTGCCAGGCCCTGTACATCCCACGTGCACACCTGGCACACTCGTCTCACTTTCCTCCTGGGAAACACCCACTCGCATGTCACGTACCCACCCAAGCATCTTCCTCAGAGAGCCTGCTCTGCATTTTCCACTCGGTTAGACACTCACATGCTGACTGCTCCCAGTAACCGAGCAGGGTCTGCACCAGCCGTGCTGGCAGTGCATGCAGTCATGGAGGCCCGTTGTCCAGCCAGTGGCCGTTCTGTCACTTAGCTTAAACTACCTGGCCAGTGCTCACAGCCACAGACTATTCCAATTTAAGTAGGTGAGATGGGAATGGAAAAACACAAAATGTTACTGTCTGACATTAGAAATCAATGATACAGGCAGACTGGTGCTGCAGAGGGACACCTGATGAGGGTCAGAGAGACCACAGCACATGAAGGTAAAGCTCTTGTTCTCATGTCAGAAGATGCAGATTCATCAGAAACGGAGGTGTTTGCCTTCCATTGCCAGTTGGTCCCAAGCTGGCCTCACTGGCCTTTAGTCCTGTGTCCTTTGATGTGATTTGAAGCACTGGGGTTTCTCCTGATTGGGTAGCTGTTTAGGCAGTGTTTTCCCTTGTACGGGTCCTCATTTTGTCTAACAGTATGGACAGCTTTTAATTAAGAAGCTGTTTTTGCCATTTTTCTTCTAGTTACGAGCCAGAGCTATTTCCTGGTTTAATCTACAGAATGATCAAGCCCAGAATTGTTCTCCTTATTTTTGTTTCTGGAAAAGTTGTATTAACAGGTAAGTTATAACAGGGTGTGGTATCTGAATGTTTGAATGGCGTTTTCTCAATGCTAAAAGGTACTGTCACGGAGTTGGGACATTTGGCGAGCACCCGGGAAGGCTGCCTTTGCGTTTCCCTCCCATCCTGACCCCGATGGGAAACACACCCACGGAAGGAACCGGACCAGGTTCCTGCTGGTCCTTCAGCCGGAGCTTGAGCCATGGGGGGAAGGGACAAGGGGAGCGCCACGCTGGGTAAGAGGGCGTTTCCAGTGGGAAGGTGTCCTGCAAAGCTTGGCTTTCACCTGCAATGTCATTTCGAGACCACAAAGGAGCGCTGAGAGGAGCTTGTTTGGAGGAAGCAATTGGGACAGTAAGATTCAGCTGCTCAGCAGGCCAGCTGCCCAGAGGAAGGCTGGAGTCACCCCGGGCACTGCTTTTGTAATTCAAAAAGCCATTTTAAGAAAACACTGCTTTAAAAACAAGAGTGGGATTGTGACAAGGGGTTCCATCATTAAGTTATCAGTGCCTGCGTCTGTCAGTCTATCTGGACATGGAGAGAATTGTGATTTTGTGTTAAAGTCACGATTTTACCTCTTAGTATGTTAAGAAATGCCATTTCGGACTCTCATCTCCACCCCGACGTGTCTTCGTAGGTGCTAAAGTCAGAGCAGAAATTTATGAAGCGTTTGAGAACATCTACCCGATCCTAAAGGGCTTCCGGAAGACGACATAGTGGCCGTGGACGCCTGCCTCCCCGCCCGCTGGTTTTGTAAAACAAATCAGTTTGGGCACAGTGACAGTGGTGGTGGTGGGGATGGCCCCCCTGGGCTGTGGGTGGCAGCCGGCGTGTGTCCGAGGGCATGCTGGGAGGGGTGCACCTCCTGCACAGAGGACCCCCCCCCACACACACACACACACACACACGCAGGGGCGGTGCTGCCCGTTATTTATATTTAGATTTTAAACACTTACTGCTGTTGACAAGTTGGCTTAAGGGACAAAACTTTAGTATTAGAGCCACCTCTACAATTGACTGGACTTTTTGTTTGATTTCTTCCCCTTAAACCACAGTTTTTATATTTCTACCAGAGCAGTAAAAATCTTTTTTAAAAGTGTTGTTTTTCTAATTTGTAACTCCTAGGGTTATTTTTGTGCCAGACACATTCCACCTTTCAGTATTGCAGGACAGAACAGGTGTGTTAATGAGAACGAACAGCTGTAAATATTTTCTCTCTTCACAGTACTCTGTACAATAAATGCTGTTTATAAAGTGTTAGGTTGATGTTATAAATGGTGCCCTGTAAGGTCCATGTGATCATACTGTTAAAAAGTTGTATTTTAGATATAATGCCTGAAACCGTTTCAGTGTGTGTTTGCTTATTGTTTGTTTCAATCATTTCCTTGTACGTTGCACTGAAAGTGGATGAACTGCCTGAAAATGTAAGGTGGCTCATGAAACAAGTACTTACTGCCCTCCATATATTAAGCACCTCCTGTTTCCCAGATACACTGCCCGTAATGCTCACCCTGACCCTGCAAACACCACCCAGAACCTTGCCGGCCATCCCAGAAGCCCCTCCTTCGTCTCCAGTCCAGCCGCCAGCCCCACGATCCCTCACAAATTATCGTTACCCTAATAGAAGTTTGTCTTCCATTTTTTAAAAACAGGTACGTTTTTCTGTTTTATTCCTTAAGGTTCCTCTCCATCTCTTTTCCCTAACATTTCAGGCCGTTTGGCCGGTGGTTTCCTAAACCGTGTTTTGCTGTTTGCAGTCATGGTGCAGTTCAGCTTGGGCCTCATTCTCTGTATTTACTGCAAATGGGCCGCTGCATCCAGAGGCTTGAGCCATTTGTAAAGACAGCAAGTGGCGTGTTCCTGTGTTAGGAATCAAGTGTTTGGTTTTCTCTGTTCTCAATGATTCATTAATTTGTTAGTGGGTTGGCAAATGGTGAAATTCTAATCGTTGCATTTTTGTTTCATATATTCATTGAATACTTTTATAAAGTGATGCATTTCATACAGCAGGATAAATGCTTGCTTGTTTCCCTTTGAAAATTTTGTGCTGTGGAACAAATTCAGGACCACAAGGGTTTTATTTGACCAATTCTGTATTTATTACCTTTTACAATGAGAATTCTTAATTTTTAGAAACACACGGGCTGAGGAGTTATAATGCCCTGTAGGTAGTTATTTACTTCACATAAACACACTCAGTCTTAGCATAACAATGCTACCACCGATATGAATGTCGAAAGCATTGAAACATATTTGTCACTCTGCTTTCTGAGTTGTCGAAGGGTGTGGACACCAGGGTCCAGATCTGTCAAAGGACAGGTGAATAGTGGGCCAAACTGTCTGGACAGGCCTTGTCTGGGCCCAGCAGGGGTGTTGGCTGATGGGAGGAACCCTTCCCAGGATGAAGTTATCCTGAAGCCACGGGAGACGTATCTGTCGTGTGTTCAGCTGGGTTGACAGCGTTGTCCCGCAGTGTCTTCTGCTGTGGAACAAGCCTGTCTGCCTGAAAGAGTTAAGACCCAGAGAATGGCAGGGACGAGCCGTGGAGAGCGAGAGGGGGAGCACGTGCTCCAAAATCAGCCTAGTCCCTATTAAGTCTTAAGCCAGCTCCACATCTGTATAAATTCCTTTCCATTTCAATGACTTTAGTTGTGTCACTTGCAACTAAGGGTCCTGACTCATACAGAAAAGTTAGGATCAACTGATGAGTACAAATTTAGCAGCCTGCTGAGAATATAAGAAGCATTCGATGCCAAAGTTACATTGTTTCAAGTGTTACACTGATGTCTGTAATCCATTTTCAGTTAAGTTTTTTTTTCCTACCTTTTTTAAAGATTTTATTGGGGAATTGGGGGAGGGGAACAGCGTTGGGGAATCGGGGAAGGGAAGTTGCTGTCCATTTGTTATTCAGTCTAGTTGTGGAGGACGTCGCTTCACTGGCCCATATTGGTATCATCATTGTGCTCTTCCCGGGTGAGGCAGTTGCTTGCCAGCCATCAGATGGCTGCACATGGTGGCTCACGGCAGCTCATGCCAGCTGCCGGCCACACACAGTAGCTTATGGCAGCCCACTGCAGGGGGCGCTGCAGCCTACGCTGTTGCTGGCCACTCACGGCAGCCCAGCTCCAGGTCGAGCTGTTGTTCACCATCTTAGCTGTAGAGGGCGCAGCATCGCTGGCCCTCATGTGGGATCTGAACTGGGGCCCTGCTGCTCAGAGCTGGCGTCCCAAGCCAACTCCTAACCAACGCGCCACTCGGCCGGCCCTTCAGTTAATTTTTGAATGGTGTCAGAAATGGGTTCAGTTGCATTTTTTTTAATATGTGAATATCCAATTTTCCCAGCACTACGTATTGAAAAGACTTGCTTTTCTCCACTGAGTATTTTTGGCTCTCTTGTCACACATTCATTGACTGTGTAGACGTGGGTTTATTTCTGGGCTCAGTTTGGTTCCATTGGTCTATTTGTCTGTTTTTATGCCAGTACCATAGTGTTTTGATGACAAGCTCTATAATATAGATTGAAATCAGGAAGTATGGTACCTCCTGCTTTGTTCTTTCTCAGGGTTTCTTTGATTATTCTGGGTCTTTTGTGGTTTCATATAAATTTTAGTTAGGAGTGTTTTTTTCTCCTGTGAAAAATGCCACTGGACTCTTCACAGGGATTGCATTGAATCTGTAGATAGCTTTTAGCAGTAATGTTTTTTGGATTTTTTTGTTTTATTTTTAGCTGAGCCATCCTGGCACCTGTTGTAAGCTCAGCAGCAGCTCAGCACTGGCCGGGAATCGAACTGGCGACCCTGTTGCTCAGAAGGCAGTAACATTTTAACAATATTAATTCTTCGAATCCAGAACACAGATTCCTCTTCATTTATTTGTCTTCAATTTCTTTCATCAGTGTCTTATAGTTTTCAGAGTAGTGACCTTTCACCTCCTTAAATATATTCCTAAGTATTTTATTGTTTTTGATGCTATTATAAATGGGACCAATTTATTTCCTTTTCAGAACACTGGTTAGTTGTTTTTAACATGGTCACTAAGTGGGCTTTCTAGTGATTTGGACCAACTGTCTCCCAGTGGGAGTCCCTGTGAACTCGCTTGCTGGGGATACACACCTAAAGGACAGCTTGGCTGGTGACACCAAGAAGCCCGTACGAATGTCCACGTCATCTGGTGATGTCTCCAGGAACAGACCTTAATGAATTTGCTTGAAAATCCTTAGCAGTCAGGATGCTTTTGTGTTGCAAAATTTACTTATCCTGACTGTAAGAATTACTCATAACTTGAAGGCCCCACTAGTTTTCCAGAAGCCACTAAGATTCTTAGCAACCGTGACCCTTTCTACCAGTTGATGGGAACTTTTTCTGTGTCCTCCAGTAGCCATGGGCTGTATCACCATACTTGTGGGTGATTCAGATTCAGATTTAACCCCCCAGCTTCAAATCAAAACACCATTCCCTCCCTCTTTAAACATCACATGTAACCATTCTCCCCGTGGGAATTTCATGCTGCGTTTTCCCATGTGGCGCTGTGTTTTATGTGCACGTCTTTACGAGTTAAGTGTATGTACGTGCGCACACACAACATGGACCACTAGGCCACGACTTGGATGTACAAACAGCCAGGTTCTCAGGGACATCGGCAAACGATGTCACCTCCAAAGACGTGTATGGTGGCGGTGCCTTTCAGGGTTAGCAGGGTGTGTGGAAAGAGACCCAATAACCTTGAGAAAGTGAGCAGAATGAGTCGACAGCAGCTTTGCCTGGGCCCTGAGCAGGCGTCCCCGGGGCTGCAGTAGCCTCAGGATGGCTGAAGGCAGAGGTTCAGGAGCCACCGTGCTAACTCTCCCGCACTTGAAAGCTGAGCTCAGGGCCTGCCCTCAGGCTGCTGGCTCCTGGGCCAGATGACCCTGGGGCGCCCTGGGCAACCCCGATGTCCCAGTCCTGCACCCTCTCTCTGGTTCCCCTGCCAGTGGTGTGAAGTGCAAAGGGAGACCAGTGGTCTCGCCTGTTGGTCTCATCTGTCCACTGATCACTGGATGAGCAAGGTCAGTTTCAAAGTCAGGCTGTCTGATCGCAAACCTGTTCCTGACCCTAACTGCAGCTGCCTCAGAACTGCTGGGCAACTCCCTCGTACTCACCAGCCCAGGATGTTCGTGTCTGGGCTTCCATGTATACTAGAGCCTGTGACAGACAATCATCTGATTATCAGACAAGCTCCTTGCAGGTTTACCCAAATATTTTTCTCTGTAACTTTGCAAATTGTAGGTGAGAAAATGACCTCGGTTGTTTGACTTAATTAACCACATAACCCATTTTTATTGAAGAAATACACATACAAGTAAGAAGATTTTCGCTTAGCCCACCATTCAGCTAACCAGTGCCCACCTAGTATGTATTTTCCAGATTGATTTCTGTGCTCTTACACATGTACAGATATTTTTACAAAAATCTGGTCATACTGTGAATACCATCTATAATGGTATCAGCGTGTCAATTTAGATCTTCATTTTACTTGGTGTGCATACAGGTCTCTATCATGAAACTGCGGAGCCTCCCGCTGTACAGATAAGCCAACATGTATGTAATTCCGTCAGTGTACATTTTTGCTTCCCTACTATTTAGACATTGGAAATAACGCCTAAAACAATACCTCTGTACCTCTCTCTCTGGTACAGTTATTCCCTTAGGATAAAGTCCTAACAATTGGAACTGCGAGGTCTAACCTCGAGCATTTGAAAGCTTGACGACGCCGTCTTTAAGGTGCATCTGTTACATCTTGTTTCCAAACAAACTCCTCGGTGTAGCCAGTGCCCCGTCTACAACTTTCGGCGCAGGTGAAGACGGCCAGGACACCCCAATCGACACTCCTGCCCAGTGTGTCGGCCTTTAGGTAGTTGAGCAGCTGAGGCATGACCTGAGAAAAGGGTGACAGTCACACCTGGTTCAAGGCAAGCAGGGTCATCTGCTTTCAACATGCTTTCGCTTCCAGGGTGACTGTAGGGTCCCTGAGCTCGCAATCTCCACACCACAGAGCAGAATTACAGACATTACACAACAAGCACATCTGACCTAAAAATATTTTACAACTCTGTTCCTTCAACACCCCTCTCTATTTCACTTGGTCTTCATTTGGTCTTTCTTTTCTACTTGAGAAAGAAGTTCCCAAGTACAGTGGACTGGCTGATGTATTTGGCTCGGCTGGTAACCTAATTATTTTTATCAATAATATGCCACAAAATAGGACTGAGGCTTCTATTTGGGGAACTTTTACTTTCTGCCATTTAAAAGCTGAATAGCAGATGCTGTTACTATGACTGAAGAAACATCAGTAATGAGCACAAGTAGTCAGATGGCCAAGGGAAGACCCAGAACTGCCACCACGGATAGGAACGCGCTTCATGCATCATCAGCTCTTATTGGGGTCCAAGAACCAATCTATTGTTTGGGGGACAGTCCTCAAAATTCCTTTTTCCCCTAAGAAACAAGTATCACCTACCACTTTGTAAGGTGCATGAATCCATGGTTCAAGAGCATTGCCACTCAACCCAAAATTATTTTGATGCTAGCAATGTCTTTTGAAAAACCATTTGTCTTAATGATTACATCCATTTGTTTTCTTTATAAATCCACAAACCAAGACTAAACAGAGAAAACACCCCTGTCACAAAGTACAGAATCAGACCTTAATAATGGAATAAAATGTATTATTTAAAATCACAAAGGTAACCATAGAGCTTAAAAATAACAATAGAAGGGGCAGGCCGAGTGGCTCAGTTGGTTAAGAGCTCGCTCAAGAGTGCAAGCTCTGAGCAACAAGGTCGCTGGTTCGATTCACGGCCCGAGCTGAGCTGCTGTTGGCAGGATGGCTCAGCTAAAAAAACCCCCAAAAACCAATAGAACTGCACTGGGATGTAGGGTTAGGTGTCTGGATGGTGGAAGCGAGTACCTTTAAATCCTCATGACTGCACTGGTCAGTCAACACATGTCTGAAAACCAGCGAAGTGACCAATGTCAGAAAAACCATGTTATTTAGAGAGAGAACTATCGGCTTAAGCATAGGCTTAAGCATAGAAGACCATTTTAAACCCTGCGGTGGGACAGGAAGCTTCTGATTAGCACGATGGCACCTTCCGTAAAATCATCTAGACCCCCGTGCAGGTTCCTTTAGTCAAGTATTTTAATGTTTGAAAACATAAGCCAGAGTGACCATGTGCTGAAATAGTCTGTATTTAGGGTCATACCTGGAATTCAAATATCCTCTTGGCACCACAGGGGCAATCTGGAATGTCCTTTTCCTGGGGGATATTTTCACCAGAGATCCAGATGGGGGCAATCCCTCGGCCGTATCTGAGAATCTAAAATCAATCACAGTCGTGTTCCAACCACCAACACGGCACCAGTTTGCAGTGGCGTGTGTGACTGACAGTCACTGGGAAGAACTGCACTTGCCCCCCACACTTGATGGAACAGACTTCCACAGGCAACTTACTGTGTCCTCAGACCCAGCACCCTGATTGCCTGCTCCATGTCATCAAAGCGATCCTGCAGCTGTCTGCCTCAGGACCTCAGAATTTATTTCTTAGGTGACATGGTCAGACTGAATTGTGACTGTCTGTGAAGGATGAACGAACCTTGTCTCCAAGACCGGGTCCTGAGACTGACTGGCTGCAGCTGTCTGTGCTCTCCTGCACATAAACTGTACTTAGAAGTTTTACAGAGGACAAATAAATACCATGTGAAACACAGTGTTTAGGCCAACACTACAAACAGGTCAATGTCGTCACAATAAGGTCTTACAATGTGCAGAATCGCCTCCCTCAGCCCTCACAACCTCCCTCTATTCTTTCCACACTGCAGACACCGTTACATCAGCTCATGACGTAACTCAGGATCCAGGATCCTTTCACAACACCAGTGCCTCTGTGTTAATAATGTCATGTTAGTTTTACAAGCCCAAGGCACCTGTTACGGCGCCTGAACTCCATGTGTCGCAGATGACATGTCTCCCCCAACACTGCCGCTAGCATAAACGCTGCATGATGGACAGCACAGCTGTTCTCTTTCTGTAACTACTGGAAGGACCCGCCCTGCAGAAACACCTTTCCTGTGTGCGAAGGACAGCTTACGAGACAGCTTTAGTGATGACACCCCTAAAATCCCGTGGGAAGAACACAGAGGGGACTGTACGAGTTCTACCTTACCTGCTCTGGTTCCAGGGCTATTTTAGTTTTAAACTTCCGGAAAATTTTATCTTCCCTGGATTCATGTTTTGCCATGGAATCCAGTTCTTCCTCAGGTACTGCACCTGAAAAACCATCAATAACTATTATGGCAACAAGAGTGATCCCCACGACTTGACAATTCACATCTGCTGAGTTTCAAACAACCAACTAAGTGTTAAACCAGACAGTGGAGGCCAGACACCCTCACAGGGTCTCCCCACTCAAATTCCTCCAAGCTGGAGCTTTAAGACCATCTGAACATCCAGGTTCTCCGGAAGCACTTTTTACTGTGCAAGCTGCTAGTGAGCGCTTTTCTTTAAAGCTTCACATTTAAAAGAACAGAGCCAAGTCCCGGGCTCAGGACTGCTGTGCCCGCACACAACGGGACACCCAACAAACATGAGCCCTTGCTATCACCACTGTCCTTAAGCCGTCTGGACTCGTGTCTCACATCTCTCCATTCCACACGCCTTCCTCCTCCTGCTGGTACATGCGCTCCGTCATCACATGCTCACGGTGCACCTGCCAGCTCCTTCCTTCTCCATTCTCACCTCCTGGAACCCCAGCTACCTGCACCACTGCTGTCCACACAGCATTTAGTGTCTGTAACTTGTATCAGGTTATTTTTGATATCCTGAGTATGAATTACAGACCAGTAAGTCAACATTCTAACCAGGGATCTAGTCTTGTGGTTTAGAGCTTGAGTTCTAGTCAATGAGACTGAACGCAAACTCCAGCTGTGAAACTTATGGCCAAACAGGTTACACCCAGAACCTCCAAGTCTTCATTGCAAAAGGGGATACAGTTGTTAAATCACTGTGGATTTTAATGAGATCATACACAAACAGCCCTTGGTGCAGACTAAGTGGGGGTAAATGCTGGCTACTAACCAGCCTCGTAGGCATGCGGTCAGCACAAGGACTGGACTACAATCAGCTCTGGAGATCTAACAAAATCACACGTCGAAAACTGGCCAGATCAGAGAAACTAACTTTGAAAGGGCCCCGGCCGCCGACCAATCACTATGCCAGGCACTGTCACATATACCTCCTTGATCCAAGGAACAGGTCTGGGACACGCTGAACTCACCCCTTTTGCAGCATCTCCTGCAGCCCTACCCAAGTGACCACCTGGACAATTCCTGTGACGTATTTATATAAAAACCAGGACAGACCTGATATTTGCCAAGCAGGGGAGTTACAGGAAGGATACTTTCAAAGGAGGCAAAGTTTGGAAATTATACACTGCAGCTTCCAAAGTGGGTTGAGTTTTTCTCTCAGTACCTCTTTTGACATACTGAGCCCTTTCATTCGAGCATCGTGTTTACTCACTCTATGAATAAAGTTCTGAGTTGACTCCTTACCCATGCTCCCTGTAATCTCTGATTCATCTGTTTCCACAACTTCAGGTGTAATCTCATCTTCTGTTTCTATTACAATTTCAAATTCTGGAAAAAGGAAATTGTGGTCTGGAACTGTATTGTCCAAATTATCTGAAAGAATAAGAGTAACTAGCACCATTAGTAATAATTTATTTTTGAAGATCGTCTGATAAAGTCTTATTTATTTTTCTTTTAAAGATTTTATTGGGGAATTGGGGAATGGGCGCAGCCAAGTTGTCCTTCAATCTTAGTTGTGGAGGGTGCAGCTAGCTCAGCTCCAAGTCCAGTTGCCATCCGGCCGCCCAATAGCTGCTCGCAGTCGCTCAGCTCAAGGTGCCGAGTTCCATTTTAGTTGTAGGTGGGCGTAGCCCACCATCCCATGCGGGAGTCAAACCAGCAACTTTGTTGTTAGGAGCACGTGCTCTCACCAGCTGAGCCATCCTGCCACCTGTTGGCAGCTCAGCAGCAGCTCAGCTTGGGCGCAGCTCACTTGCCCACGTGGGCACTGAACTGGTGACCCTGTTGCTCAGAGCTCGTGCTTTTAACCAACTTAGCCACTCAGCCAGCCCTGATAAAGTCTTATTTCTAAAGTAGATCCCATGTGGGCCGGCCAAGTGGCTCAGCTGGTTAGGAGCTCGCTTAGGAGCACCAGCTCTGAGCAGCAGGGCCCCGGTTCAGATCCCACATATGAGGGTCAATGACACTGCCCTCTACAGCTAAGATGGTGAACGGCAGCTTGTCCTGGAGCTGGGCTGCCCTGAGTCACCAGCGATGGCGTAGGCTGCAGTGGGCTGCCATAAGCTACCATGAGTAGCTGGCAGCCGGCGTGAGTGGCTGGCAGCCGGTGAGCTGCCGGGAGCCGCTGTGAGTGGCCAACCAATGACCGGCAACCAATTGCCTCACCCGGGAAGAGTGCAATGATGGTGCCAACATGGGCCAGTGAAGCCACGTCCTCCACAACTAGACTGAAGAACAAAAGGACAGCAACTTGTCTGTTCCCCTTCCCCCAATTCCCCAGAGCTGTTCCCTCCCCCCAATTCCCCAATAAAATTTAAAAAATAAATAAATAAATAAATAAAAATAAATAAAGTAGATGCCATATAGTAACAGTTTTCCCTAGTAAGTTAATCTATATAGTTCCAGCATTTCAGGTCATGGGTCATAAATTAAATGCCTCTGTGAAGGCAAGGCGGGAACATAACCATGGGGGCAAAACTTCAAAGGTCCTTTCATGAAGCTGTTACCAACAAACTTCTGAAAAGTATTATTCCTTTTCTAATGGTAACTGTTACCCTCAAAATGAAAGATTTGGTTGACAGATGCTATGAAACAGCTGAAATCTAAAAATAAAAAAATGGACTCACCTGATTTTGTACAAGCCTGTTTATGTCCCAGTCTCCAGTCTAGAGTCTGATGCTCCTTACTGCAGTAATGGGCCTTGTGACATCTAGAGCAGGTCTTAGGTCCTAAACAGCCACAAACCCTGCAGAGATGAGCGCCGGAGTGGAGCTGGAGGCACGGGGACTCTCCTGTCTCGGGGGGAGGAGCCTCGGAGGGCGGCTCATAAGAGTAAAAGTCGTTTTTCCTTGGTAGCTGATTTCTAAAAACTGAGAGAAAATGAAGAGAAAGATTGTTTTTTAAATAAAACAATACATCAACTCAAATGTTTGAGCCTCTATTCCATAAAGGATAGAAAAGACACCTATTTATTTAAAAGACAAATAGAGGGCAGTTTTTGTTTTCAAGAAGCTTATTTTCTGAAAGGAGAGGGGAAAAAAAGTGGAAAAGAAACTCCTCGAGTCTAGAAGATCTAGTTTGTTACGCACAGCTCAGTTAGCTGTCTGGGCTGTTTCAAAGTAATCCAATTAATAACGCGACTAACGGACCGCAAAAATATGAAAAGGCTACTGGGCCCCGGCTTTACGAAAGTTCTCCATTTTCTGTATCTGCTCGTAACCACGCACACTCGGTGCCAAGCAGTTTAGCAACACGCCGCGAGCCGGGAACGCGAGCACGCGGGCCGGGGCCGCTCACCGCGCAGGCCGGCGCAGCACGCGGGCGCCCGGCAGCAGAAGAGGAACAGCGCGCGGTGGAAGGCGTCGGCGCGGCCGGGCAGCGGCGCGTACAGCTGCAGCACGAAGGCCAGCGGGCGGCCGCAGCGCGCGCAGCTCAGCTCCGCGGGCCCCGGCAGCCCGGCCGCGCCCAGCCACGCCGGCCGGCCGCCCACCTTGCTGGGGAACTGCTCGCTGCGCAGCCGCCACGCCGGCGCCGCCTCCGCGAAGCCCAGTTCCACGGCTCCGGCGCCCGCAGCCGCCATGGCGCGGTGGAACCCGGGCGCTCGCGTGGCCGCGCCGCCGGCCGGAAGGCGGAAGCGCGGACCGGAAGCGCGTGGGCGGCCGCCCCGAGGCGATTGGACGACGGGGCGGGGGGCGGGACCACTTCCGGTCCGCTGCGTGGGTCCTCCGGGCGCCGGACCCGGCGTTTGGTGGGCCGCGGGTTCTGTGCCCCGTCGTAGGGGCGGGCACTGCGGGCGCTCCTGAGGGCACCCCGCTTTCCCGCGGGCGCTGTGGGGCGTCGCCACGTGTGCTCGGGCGAGGAGCTGCCGGAGGCTTCCCACGTGCGCTCGCTGCCAAACTTAGAAACGGAGGGGGGGGGGTGCGAAAGGCCGAGGAGGAGAAAGGTCAGGTCGGGGTTCAGGAGTTCAGGGCTGGGGTTGCTGGGGGCACCGTCAGCGTCACGAGCGAGACGCGGCCGACAAGGCGGCAGCCGCACACCGTGTCACGCGGTCAGACTTGATGAGCGTGGAGCCGTGGACCCGGTCCCGCTGGCTCCGGCACGAGGATCGGCTCCGACCGTCCGGGAGAGCGCTTCGCACCAGGCGGTCACGCGGGTTTGCGAGCGACAGGGCTCGGCGAGGCGAGCGGAGCGTCAGGCGACAGGCTGGGCCGGGGACGTGGCCGGGGGCGAGGCTTCCCCGTCAGGGACGAGTGCGGCTGCGTCCGTGGGCTTATCAGCTGAGGCCGAGCGAGGAGCCGTCGGGGGAGCTGCAACCTCATGTTCGAGAGGGTGCAACAGAGCCGACCGGCCGGTCCCGCTGCACCCCGTGTCTGGAGTGACTGGTTAGGGGCGCACGGGGTACCCATCTCTGGCATGATTGTCGCTTTGTGACTGACGTAACTATCAGAATTATCAGAGTCCATTTCGTGTTCATAGTTAATGCTCTGGACAGTCAGGGTTAGTTTTAGGGTTTAGAGGGTTAAGATTAGGGTTTAGAGATTTAGGGGTTTCTGGTTTGGGGTTAAGGGTTAGGATAGTGTTAGGAGTTATGGTTTGCTTAGGGTTGTTTTGACTGCATAGACACAGGTGTCACATTTCTAGCACCTCAATGTCTCTGCAGAGCCCTCACACCCAATAAGAGGTCCCTGCTGTGGATAAGCTCCTGGGAGAGCACACTTTCCCGTGTCACCACCTGTCATTCCCACATAGTGGCCAACCAAGGGACAAGTCTCTGGCGGCGGGACCAGGGTAGCCGGGTGGGTGTCCAGACATCCTGGCAGGGCTGTGATCTGGGGCTGAGTCACAGCGTGAGGGACGAGGGTGTGGGCACAGGCGCCTGTGCACGCTGTGCGATGTGGCCTCTGGATCACCGTGTGGAAGTTCTGATGGTCCCTGTCTGTCCTGAAGCTCAGCCATCGCCTCAGGAGCTCATAGGCAATAGAAGGAAGATTTAAAAAGTTATGTATAACTGGAGAGTTCTGGTCAAGATGGCGCAGGAGGTAAACACTGTGCTTACCTTCTCTCACAACCACATCAAAATCACAACTAAAGTACAAAACAACCATCATTGAGAATAACCTAAAATCTTGCCGATACAAAGCCCTAAAACTAAGGACTTGCAGAAGAAGCCACCTCGACTGGTAGGAGGGGCAGAGACGCAGAATGGGCTGGTCCCACACACACGTGTGACCATTACAAATTGGGAGGGATATCTCAGCAGTGAAGGTCTCCTCCCCCTTCCCCAGGAGCAAGGGGTCCCAGCCCAGGCAGGGTTCCAGTGCTGGGGAGAGAAGTCCCCATAATTTCTGTTTGTGAAAACCAGCAGAGATTGTGACTGAGATGAATGGCGGATGAAGTCCTCACTGCTCCTCTTAAAGGGACCGCTCAAGGACTTACGGACAGAATCACTGGCTCTGAGCTCCAGCGCTGGGGCAGCAGCTGGAAAGACAGCAGGGACAGATGCGGGGGAGCTGAGTCGTCTGGCCTGGGACGGGGCTGGAGGGGCAGAAGCAGAGCCGTGCTCTGGGCTGAGGAAGAACAGATGTTAAAAGGCCGGAGCACAGGCAGGAGACAGGGCACAGAAGTGGGGGAGTCGTGGTCCTAGGGCTCTGGTGCAGCTTGTCCTCCCCCTCCCTCCACACCTGTCCTTGTCTCCAGCTGCCTGCCCAAGTCCCACCCCAAAGCCAGCCTGAGTGAGTGCATGGCAAGCTGGACCATAGGTTATGTGCAGATTTTCTTCAAATAGAAGGACCAGGGTTCCACCCAATGCTGCAGGACTATGTGGAACACTCTGTTTGTACAGGATCCTGTGTGTGCAAGCTCTGCTGGCCCATTTCGGCCTTGGTTCTGGGCTCAAAGCTGTTAGAATCAGTCTTCATGTTAAATACCTGTGAAATGGAGATAACTGTCTCTGCTCTATCTGGAAAATGGTAGCAGTGGGTGATAGGAGGTGTGGAAGGGCCTGAAACAGGATTTAACTCACAGTGAACTTGGTCCCAGGGGTCTGGGTTGTCATTTTAAAGGGGGCGGGCGGGGAATCGCTCTCCGCTGCCATGATGGTGAGCATTTAGGGAATAAAACCTGAGTAGTCACCAGGAATAGCCATTTTCTGCTGCCATCTCTCGTGTGAGTTCCAGGAATAGCACCTGTTTGTATATCAATTGGAAATGCTGGTCTCTGCTGCCATCTCGTGGGCATCTTGGGAGTAACACTTTGTGTGTCTTTTCTAATGAGACTGTGGCTTGTCTGGTTGTTAGGAGACCTGGTTTACACTTTTCTCCCTGACTCTGGGATTTGGCCTCACGGGGACTAATGTTTCAAGTCCCATTTGGTACAGAAGGCTGCTGTTCTCTGGTCGTCAGTGGTTGGTGGTGGTCATGCAATTGTACCAAACCTTGGTTGTGATGTGTTTTATTTTCTTTTTACCCATTTCCTCTCTGATAATAAAAATCCGAGCTCAGGTAGAGACTTATAAAAACTGAAGTCAAAAGGTTCTAGACATGCTGTTGTCACTTCAGAGGACATTTTGAAGGACCTGAGACACCTGCCCTGGGGTGGGGGGTGTCTGTGTTCTCTGCCATCTCCCGCTCTGGAAATACAGGCATCCAGCCCTGGGCTGACACCTGAGGGTGAAAGAACTCAGTTCCTTCCAGCTCC